TAATAATGTCCCCAAGTGTCTCCTGGTGTCTTATTGTTTCAGTTTGTGTCCCTTATCGTATAACTGTGCCTAATTGTGTCCCTTAGTGTCACTTTGTGTCCCTTAGTGTCGCTTTGTGTCCCTTAGTGTCGCTTTGTGTCCCTCGGTGTCGCTTTGTGTCCCTCGGTGTCCCAGGTTCATCCATTGTTTCCTGAAGCCCTCTCAGATTAGAGGTTCTGATGTTAGGACCGGCTGATGCTGAAGCTACCTCTCTGACAGTTGTCGGGTGTCTCTCAGGGTGACCCGGTTCCTCACAGAGTAGGAGACCATCTTCTGGAAGGGAACCCGTTCATAGAAACTCTGAACTGGACCGCTCAGATCCACTGAAGAGAAAAAAAATAGATAACAGAAGAACATTTCTAACAGAACCAGAGCTGAACTCTGCAGAATCTGATCTTAGGGTCTCATCCTCACCCAGCTTGCTGTAGGTGTTGTTTGGTAACCCGGCCAGCAGGGGGCGGCAGGATTGTTTTCTTGGCTGGTCGTAGGCTCCACAGACTCTGGTGTCAGGGTGCAAAGAGCAGCGGAAGAAAACATCTGATTCTGCATCTCTGAGGTCGGCGACAGCGCACTGCTCCTCTTCATCACAACCTGAAACACACAGCCGTCAACCTACAGAGTGCTGACACCTACAGGTGGGGGGGGGGCACTGCTTTCTAAAGGGTCATAAATGAAATCTTCTCCTTCTCTGTCTGTTAAAGGCAGAAATCTGCAGCTACGTACGCGTGAGACACCAGAGCTGCGCCTGCTGGGAACTGTAGTGGTTTTTATTGAGCCAGTAGGAGAGAACGGGGAGTTTCCTCTGAGGATCCACGATGATGTCATCATTGGACAGCGGCTGGAACCTCAGCAGCACGGACGCTGCAAACACAGAGAAGATCACCTATAGATGTGAAGCGACGGACGGAAAATCGCCTGATCAGAGAAGATCCAAACCATTCAGAGGAGCAGGAAGCTCTGCTGCAGGGCAGGAAGAAGATCCGGAACCAGCAGCCTCTGACTCTGCAAACGACAACAAAAAACTGTGAGCCGAGCTGAACCTTGACCCGAGTGGGTGTTACCTGCTGCTTCAGGACAAAAGCGTACCTGTGTGCAGGTAGATGGCCTGGAAGCTGATGATGGAGGCCTGATAGTCCTTTTTATTCTTGCTGTCGGCGGGCAGAGCGTCATCAGCTGAAAGGCACCAGAACGTTTGGTTCTGTTTGAAACGAGCTGCTCAGAAATGAACTGGACCTTTTTCTTACTGATAGTGAACTTTTCTCCTCCGAAGTCGAACAAAAAGCTTCGCTGCAGTTCGTTGTAGGTAAGCCCCGCCCCACAGGTTCTATTGGCTGGTCCCTGTCCAATCACGTCCCAGTCCTGATCCTCACACATCAGAACCGACGGAGCTCTCAGCCAACCACAGAGGAGGGAACCTTAATGGGATGAAATGAGCAGTGAGGATCAGGGTCAACTCCTCCCCGCAGCCCGTCTCCATGGTAACACACCTCCATCCAGGACGTTCTGGTTCAGGATGAATCCGTCGCAGCAGGCGTCCCGGCTGCAGCCGTCCTGACAGAAGCGATGAGCGTCGGACAGAGACGTGGTTCTGGAGGAGAACACCTGAGTCCTGAATACACCTGAGACCACCTTCCTCATCCTCGTCTTCATCAAGGGAAGCCCCGCCCCTGCATAAGAAGGCACGCCCACAGGATCACAAACAGGTACGCTAAATCTGATCCTGACACTGGAGCTCTGGACCACATCTGTCAGCATCGGGTTACCATGGTAACGAGGTCAGAGCTGCAGCACAAAAAATGTCTCCTTTTACACCAATCAGAAAGCTGTTTTATTACGTAAATATGGTTCCAGTACATCCTTAAGCTACTTACTAACTTTTTAAAAAAAAAATAGCGAAATAAGAAGGTAATAAATGATTAATTTAAAACGGAGAAAAAACCTAAATGTCTAAAAATGTAAGACGGTATTCAGGAGAAGTTTATTGGATTCTCTGGAGCAGGCATCCCCAAAGTGGGTCCTGCAGGGCCGCCGTCCTGCAGGGTTTAGAGGTTTCTCTGCTCCAGCAGCTGATTTTAATAGAAAGCTGCTAACAGGCTTGTGGTCTACTGCAATCATCAGAATCAGCTGCGCTAAAGCAGGAAAACCTCTAAAACCTCGAGGACCGAGGTTCGGGATGCCTGCTCTAGCCAGGCTGAGATTAGCAGAGTCTAACCGAAGCTTTGTTTCTCTGAGTCTAATCTTGTTTTTGTCTTTGCTCTTCAGCAGGAAGGTCTGTGCTACAAACTGCAGGCGGCAGGATAATAAAAGCCAACATATTCTGCCGGCAGGTTTCTACATTTGAAGTTAATTTAGGCGTTAATAAACTGTTTCAGAGGAGTGATCATAGCGCTCTGCCTCTGCAGTGCTGTGTCTGACTCCCTGCCAGCTCCCAGATCAGCTTCTCTGATTGGTGTGATGCTTGAGCAGAACTTTACCGTCTTTCCTGAGGACGAGCCGTCCTGAAGCTCCGCCCCTCACTTTCAGAGAACAACTCAGCTGATGGAACCGCTCTGCTTCAGGGTTACCCAGAAACCCGCTGCCCTGCAGAGACAGAGAGACGCCACGTTCCCATCAGGGAGAGAAGGACTAAAGGTGAGAGCAGAAACACCAGAGAGCTGTGAGTGTGAGCGTACCTGCCGGGAGGCATTGCAGACGGTGTTCATTGTGTGTGTGCTGTACAGCTCACACTGACTGTCGAACAGCGCCACATGGTGGCAGGACGGCTCTGCAGCACAGGCTGGAACACAGACAACACTTCAGGAGAAAAGGAACACATATAGGCCTGGAGGAAAACTCTGGAATACATGAACTATTCAGGGGCGGATTTAGGAAATGTGGGGCCCTAGGCAAAGACAGGCAGGGGGGCCCATAAATAGAGAAGACATAAAACAGACGCATCCTACAGATAGAGAAATGTTCATAGAATAGACATCCATTATCTGTTCTAGGTTGTGTCCCTCTCTTCTTG